TCCCGCGCCTCCCTCACCATCGTTCCCGGGTTTGAGCTCACTGTTGCCGCCCCTGTAGTAAGCCATCTCACGGAGGATCATCTTTGTTCCTGACCTGCTCCCAAGCCTGGTGTCCTTCTCCAGGACTGGGACTTCCTGGAGAAGAAATCTTGCTCTCCTGCCTTCTCAGGGGCATTCTGGCTGTACTTCTTCTAAGACAGATTTGTGCCTTTTCCTGGCCCGCTCACTATCATCGGGACATGCCGGCGCATAGCCACCCTATAGGACAGGGGAGAACTGCTCCTGTGGGTTTCTGAGACCCTACCTTTACATGGGAGTGGAAAGCCCAGTCTTTCTCCCAAGAAGTGGCTGGTGGTTTCAAACTGCTGACCTTGCAGCTAGAAGCCCAACACATAACTACTCCACCTCCTCTATTTTCCTGGTAGTCCATAGTATATTCAATATTCCTCACCAATGCCGGTTCAGTGCTTGGAAACGTCAGGGGAATGTCAACGTTTCCAGACTGACTCCTTTGCGCTGAATGCACAGTAAGCCCTATGACCGAGAAAATCATTAGTGACTCATCTTTCCTTCCATTCATTGTCTTCATTGATTTCCCTTCTCCCAGCTTCTAGAGAAGGATTGGTTGATCACTCCCTAGTGTGAGCTACTAAATCCGCCCACTTTTAGTTGCTCATGAAGCCCTGTGGAGAAATGCTTTTAAAATTGGTCTCCCTATGCCACCTACTCCTCTGGTCCAAACGATTTATCTCACAGCAATACCATTCAGCAGACCCCAAAGTACTTTCACAAAGTCTCTGCTTTCTAGGCCACCCCCGCCCCCTGCCGCGCTCTCTACTTCCCACAACTTTCTGAATGTAAGTCTGATGGTTACTCGCCCTTCTCAAACGTTGTCAGTGGGTCCCACACCACCAGCAGCCCATGTTCCAGTTTGATTCACAGTCCTATGCACTCTCAAACTGCACGGATCTGTCTCAGGCTACTCCTTCTGGCCCTGAAATACCAGCGAAATTGGCTCATGAGCATTTCCCAGGTCTCCCGGCCCTTCAGTGGAGCATGCCCTTATTACTTCTCCCCTTGTTCGTCGGGGCCAGCTTTGCTGCCCTTCTCTGCCCATCCCAGGGCTTTCAGTGTGCCTCCAGCCCAGTAGGGGAGGTGAATGTCCCAAAGGACACAAAACCATCTGGTGCCATTTTGCCTGGCATGAAAGCTTTGCTCCACCGCTTACGGTAATGGCATGATTGGCAAGTCCCTTCACCTTCTTGTCACTTGAGTTGCTTCTGTCCAATGTAGAGCACCTTCCTCGATGGGCCGCTGGGGACGTCAAATGTAGCTGGTGCATTTCAAGATCCGTGAGCACAGTAACCTAGTTGCTGGGGAGTCCGTTCTGAGTCAAGGTAGCCACATGTGTGTCAGAACAGAACAGCACTCCGTGGGTCTTCCCAGACTGACACTTCTTTTAGGGAGCTTCTCGGGGAGCTGGAACCCACCAGCCTTTCTGTTAATGACCCAGAGGGGGAATTGAACCACCCAGAGAACTCTTTAAACATAGGAAGTACCTTCCTTAGTTAACTCTTGATTTACTTTACTAAGTACGTGTCTCAGAATGACTGTAAACTCCTACAAAACAAGGTCTGTGTCTGAGGTAGTTAGTTTATTGTGTCAACCTGGCCGATAAACACGTGTGGGGTTAATTGAAGGGCGGAGGGATAAATGGCTCAGTGAGCCTCGCCTTTTGAGTTCTTGGGTCTCTTGCTTTCTGATGGTCGGACCAGGGTGCAGCTGCCTTATCTGGTTCCCTGCTTCAGCTGGCAAGGCTCACTTCCTGCAAGACATCCCTGAGGAAAAGCCACATGGACCTACCCCGATGCAGCCCTGGGTGCTGGCGCAGCCGTGTGGAGACCCCTGCCAGCGCTGAGATGCTTACACGTTCACTGACTCGGCTTTCCTCCTGCAGTCGGCATCATAGTGTGTGTTTTGTGAGATGGAGGAAGACTTTGTGGATTGGTGTTGGACATATGGGTTAATGGGTTAATGTTGGACTTGTGGGCTTGGGCAGCACTGGGTTGGGATGTTTTCTTGATGCGCACTTAACCTTTAAATAAAACTCTCTTATACATGAGTTTCTGTGGATTTGTTTCTCTAAAGTGCCCACACTAATACAGTGTCTTACTCATCACTGTGGCACCAGTGCCCGGCACATAGTAGGCACCTGGTACCTATTGGTTCGATGAATTGGCTTATTATTACACTGCCAGTTGCTTGTGCATGCATTGGCTTAACTAGGGAGCCCACAGGATTGTTTTCAGTGAGCTGGTATTCCCTAGCAGCAGGTCCCAGCCCCTGTGTCTAGACAGGGTTAGAAACACCGTGTATCTGGGTGACTGGCCTGGTGTATTGGGTTCCTCTTGATCAACTTTTCTTATCTCTGGGCCCCGTTCCCTGCTTCTCAGACTCCCTGTGACTATGTTCTACTTTATCCAAAGGGGCTCTGTAATTCTGTACCCTGGCTCTGTGTCCTTTTTCTATTGGGGAAGCTTGGTGTCTGGCATTCAGGACAGGGGAATATGCCAAAATTTGGGGATGCTGTCACAGCTGAGGGGAAGAGAGGACAAGGGAAGTGTCAGAGACATAACAGTGAAAAGGACACAGAATCCGGAATCCTGGCAGTGTCTGGGCTCACCTAATCACTGCCCTCCTCCAGCAATTCCATTCCTGACCACGTGTGCCAAGCAATGCGCGTCTTTGCTGCTCAGGACTTGGCTGGAGAAATGGGTCCGTCCTAAGCTCCTCACCTCAAGATGGCAAGAGTGTTTGGAGAGGAGTCAGCAGAGAGAAGAAGAACAGCAGAAAGCAGAGGTCTGGAGGGCATGAGAGAGGATTCTAGGAACTGAGAGAGGGAAGGACGTGTAATTTGTGAATTGATTTCAAGAAACTGTCGGGCTTCTGGCCCAGAGAGCTGGAGTTTTCTACTCATGCTCTAGCAGCAAGATCCAGGGCAGCTAATATATGTGACGATTGCAACGTTCAATGCCACTATTACTATAGTGCATTACATGCAACTATTACTATGCATGGGACAGGGATGGCAGCTAAGACAGTGCCGTCATCCTGGGCCCTGGGGGCTGCTCCAACACCCACCCTAGCCCCTGTCACTGCGGCTCAGGGAGGGCGCTGTTCATTGTGTTAAGCGGCGAGTCAGCAGGATTGGGTTTAATGAGCTGCTGTCCCCTGAGCGGCCTGGGTATGCAGAAAGAGAACAGTGAACTGCCACACCAGTGCTCTTACCCCATCTCTCCCGCTTCTGCCCTCTTTCCCACTCACAGTCATAAATGCCCGGATTTCTGGCTGCGGCAGAAGTTCCCAGCTTTGGTTCTTCTTTCAGAAAGACTCAGTCCTTCATTAACTTCCTTTCCTGGGACTGTCCATAGAAACCTGGGACTATGATATCATTTTATCTTTTCTTCTCCATTCTAGAGCCACCTTTTTACTGAACTCCTGAGCCCCGCTTGTCTTCTCTTTCCCTCCTTTTCCATTTTCCCACTCACTTCTTCCTCGTAGTTCCTTACAACCTTAGCTCCCCAAGTTGGCCTGACAGGCCGGTAGCATAAGCCAGGGCTTAGCATCTGCTCCATCACACCATCCCAGTCAGTCCTTCCTGACAGTGTCAGTGTCGGTCAGTGTTGGGGGACTGCCCTGGTTGGGACAATCCGGGGGCTCTGGCTACTTAGCTCGAACATTGCTTAGAGCTCCTGGGTCATCGTTTGGTGAAGACCTTAGTTTCTGTTTTCCTTGACCATGACTGAGTTGCAATCTTGCTCTGTAAAATCATTTCTTTATTTATTCAATATTGATTGTGCACGTCCACAATGCCAGTTACAGTTCTAGGCACCAGACCCAGTTCCCACAAAGAGCTCACGAGCTAGTGGGCAGTCAGGTGCTTTTGTCAGTGGGCTACAGCTCAAAGGAAAAAGTACTTTATGAATAATGTGAAGCGAAGGAATGGGTTCATGAAAAAAAAACTTCCTCTTAAATGTTGGTTCTGCCTTGAGTGATCCCTGGAGTGGCCATACAAACAAACATTGGCGATGCCAAGTTATCTTGACTCTGGGCAGGAGGCCACTTCCTTTCTCCTATGGAAACATAACAAAACAACCATCCTCTTTAGCAGATGTGGCGAATCGAAGAAGGGTTCCAACAGCCACATTCTGACTTTTCCCCCTTGATGTGCAAGGTATTTATGATAGGATTTTTTTAAAAACAAGATAACGTTTAAAACTTAGGATTCACTAGGCAAAAGAAACCATGGAACACTATGCAGCTGTTAAAAATGAACAAGGCTGCTATATATGTCTTGATAGGTTGGTATGGTTAAGTGACAGGAAGGACCAGTTTTATCCTTTAAATTTTTCCCCCAAAAGGGTCTCTGGGCCCGAGGGCTCAGGACCACAACCTCAGGACTCTGAGGTACTGGCAAGCCATGTTCACACACCCAACTCTGGTGAGTAGTGACTGGGACCTTCCAAGCTCATGATCAACCACTGGAGCTGCAACTATTTGTCTCGCCCTGCCTGGAGGAAAGAAGAGGGGTGTCCATTGCAGAGACTTGGAAACAAGTAGTCCAACAGACTGACGGACCCCGAGAAAAACAGTGTTTATGATCCCGAGACCACAACTAGATGGTACCTGGCTACCACTACCAACTGCTCTGAAATGGATCATATTAGAAGGTGCTGGGTATAGTGGGAGGAAAAATGGAACAACACTCAAAATCCTAATTTAAAAAAGACCAAGCTTACTAGTCAGATTGAGGCTGGTGGAACCCCTGAATCTCTGGCCCTTTGTCACCTGTAGGCCTGCAACTGAACTCCCTCCATGACTCAATTTTCAGCCACATAGTAGGTCTGAAAGGGGAACACTCACACTTGGGGGTACAAACACCTTAGAATAAACAACCATCTAAGACCAGGCAGTGGGATAAGTACATGGTGGGGGTAGGGATGAATGAGATGGAGCAAATTGAGTACGCATTGTTGAATGTAAAACTGGTGAGATGTTCTGTAAACTGTCCCTCAATTCACAACAAAGAGTTTCTCAAAAGAGGAAACCACTCTCCCAAGAGTAGGGCAGTGGAAGGAGATGGGAGGAGACCTTCAGTATAGACACCTCCCCCCATTTTATTTTGGAGTCGGTGGATGGGGGGACTTAAGGTGAAAGTAGTAGGATCCAAGTTAGAAGACTCCATGTCACTAACAACCTGCGGTCTCAGGGTCTCCGTCTCCTCGTTTGCAGAGTGAGGATGCTAACAGTGCTCACCCTGGAGAACCACAGTGGGACCTCAGAGGAGAAGTGCCTACAACACCCTCCGATTGTGCACAGCGGTGATGAGAACAATGACCAGGACAGTGAGGAGTGGGCTGTGTGAGCCCAGGAGCCCACCTCTGTACACCGGCCTCAGTTTCCTCATCGGCAAAGTGATCGAGTTTCACAGGGTGATTTAGAATTCTGTTAAAAAAAATATGAACTCGCTGCCATGGAGTTGATTTTGATTCATAGCTGTCCTGTAGGACAGGGCAGACTTGCCCCTGTGGGCTTCTAAGACTGTAACTCTTTACAGGAGTGGCAAACCTTGCCTTCCCCCCAGGGTTTTGAACTACCGACCTTGTGCTTAATTGCCCAATGCATAAGCCCTACACCACCACACATACTCAGCATCTTCCCCATTGGCGTCACCAGGAGTTGAGAGAGGAGTGAGACCTGGCTCCTGCCTACCAGACATTCACAGCCTCGGAGAAGGTCAGGCATATAGATAGGTGGCTTTAACGTAAGCCCAAAGAGCTGCTGGGCTCACCTGAGTGAGCATTCAGGGAAAATGGTTCCAGACAGCTCTGTGGGCCAGCAGTGTTGGGCCTGGGCTTAGAAGGATGGGGAGAGAGAGAGAATGTGCTGGCCTCTGCTTTAAAATCCTTTATTGTCAGGATAAAGGCATTTAACTGAGCAGTGGTAGGTCTTTATGATCTGGTCTTTGCTCCCTGCTGCTGGTTCATCCTCTTGCCCCACGGCCCTATAATCATTTCAATTCCTCTTGTTGCACATGCAGCTCCGGCAGCCTGACATTTCCTCTGGCCTCTGCCAGGCGCAGCAGAGAGAAGAGCTAGGGGGCCGGGCCAGACTGCAGGGTGTATGCCCTAGCTCTGCCACTTGCTGAGTGTGGGCTCTCTGGTGTGTACCTGGTGATTCAGTGTCCTCATCTGCAAAATGGGAATAAATGCTACCTCACAGGCTGGTTGTGAAGATTAAATGAGGCAACGCCAAGGGCTTGCCAGCCTAGCCCACAGTAATCACTGAATAAACACGAGCCGTTTCGTGCACTGGCTGGCCGCCTCCTACTTGTATTTCAGGGCTTCTGCCAGTCATCACCTCCTCGGGGAGGGCTTTTCTGGGCCCCAAGGAGCCTTTAGGTGGCGGTAGTGGTTATGCTTGGATTGCTAACCGCAAGGTATGCAGTTTGAAACCTCCAGCCGCTTCGTGGGAGAAAGGGCGAGGCTTTCTAGTTCCATAAAGAGCTGCAGTCCCCCCACCCCCACCTCCACTTCCCCAAAAGAGTTGCGGCCCCAGAAACCCTCAGGGGCAGTTGTACCCTGTCCTGTAGGGTCGCCATGAGTCGGTATCGACTCGATGGCAGTGAGTTTGGTTTGGTTGGCAGGCCAGGTAAAGGGGCCCTGTAGGTGTAGTGGGGTCCTCGTTGGGCTGCTATCCACAGAGCCTGCAGTTGGAAACTACCGGCCCCACTCGTGTTCTTATTCCAGGAAAGGCTTGCGGTCTCAGAGCTCCACGGGGGCAGTTTGACGCTGCCCTACAGAGTCGCAGCGAGTGGGACTCGACTGGATGGCAATGGGAGAAGGCCAGACGACCAGCCTCCCCTGTCTGGGGCCGGAGACTGCAGACCCCACGTAGGCAGGACGGGCCGATGGACTGCACAGACTGCTGAGAGCACGTGCAACAGCAGCAAATACCCACAAGGGTCGCCCCGAGTGTGACATAGCTCGGATGGGCTCGTTGTCCGCGGACCGTGAGGCTGGACTAGCTGACCTCTGCAGGCGACAGAGAGAGATCGAGCCCCCGTGGGGGTGTCCGGGGCTCCTTCCCACCCCGAGAATGTTCCCGAGAGGGCGCAGCGCGGAAGGGTGAGAGGGTGGTGTGCCACTCTGCCCGGGTCTGCGCCCTGGGGAGAAAATGTAGCCCAACGGGTCGGG